GGCCTTAAATCGACTTTTTAAAACTGAATACATACAAGCTGTGGATAATTTTTTAATTTTTCAGAGAAAATGCTTTTTTTTTGTCATTTTTGGAGAAAGTGGATTTCCCCTATAAAATTCAATATGAAATTGGGCACGAATTCTCATTGCCAATCGTTTTGTATACGTTCACACTACAAAACCTCCAAGGCGGAACAAAATCGGGGACTAACACTTAGATGAGTTCTCTTGTAAGGAAAGCACCTAGCACGTAAGACGTATCAGAAATAAACTGTTATCCATATTATGGAATGTTGAATTTAGTGACAGATAGGGTGCCAGTGGTCGAAATGCACCAGATTGAGAGGGGGAACTAGGGGCATTGTATCCAAAGGACTGTTTTCAGCCTTTTCCTTGTATTCAATCTTGAAGTCCTCAGAAGACTATGAAGCGGGGAATCTGGAGGCTCCCACTAAGTTTTTGGATTCAGTGGAAAAAGAAGAACAAATTGGTGATTTTTCTGTAATGTTTCCATTTTTGGCTTAGAGGAAATTTATTTCAGAAAAGCAGGTCGTGCCTGTGACCCAGTCCGATCGGGCTGATTTTTAGTGGACACGTCCCTCACATCGAATGTCAAAAAGGCAGTACAGCGTTTGGTGGAAAATTATTTGTTTTCAGGAAGTATGGCCAGACTGATGGATGTTGCAGGCATTATAGGCATATGCTGGTGAAAAAACTTACGAAGGACTACGAATATCATATTCTTTGAAATTGTATGTATACACACCAACCTCCAAATCTTTACACTTACCTTGGCCATGGTAGTGGTGCACTCATCGTTGTAGCTTCCTCTATGGCAGGCATCACTACCTGATATATAGATGCTTCAGCCGCAAAAATTTGTCGAACAATTTCACCCACGCCCAAAGCAGATGTCTTGCACACAACACTTAACCGAGGTTGAACATCATCTTCGTCCTGAAAATGTATAGTTATTACGCAGAGACATTCCAAGAAATTTCAAAACCATAATCCGCGCTTGGATTTTTAAAACGGTTTATTATTGCTTTTCCTTAGATGGATGAAGAGGACGATTAAGGGGGGCAATATGAGTGAAAGATGTCAAAAATGACCGAAATTTGGTCTGTTTGATGCTCTTGCGCTCCATAGTAAATTTAGGTCATTTTTGACTGCTGTAACTATATTCCCCCCCCCCCCCCCCCTTAAATTAGCAGGTCGTTCGTGGCCTGTTCCTTGCAAAGTCAACCAGACAAAAACGTCAGCCTGCTGACACTTGTTTTCGTCCTCAGAATAAACTCTTTCAACATTTCTTAGTCATTCTCGACTAGTTTGGATGTTTGAAAATCGTTTTAACGTGGTAAAACTTAAGAATTTTAGGTGCACCGACAAGCTGAACTGAATGCAGAACTTTTCATGCTGGCCTCTGCTACGCGTTAACATTGCTGACAGGTCCAACCAAGTTTTAACTATTTTAGAATGACGAAGAAATGTTGAAAGAGTTTGATCTAAGGTCGAATACAAGTGTTCGCAAGCTAACCTTTTTGTCTGGTTGACTTTGCAAGAAGGAACAGACCTCGGACGGCCTGCTCCGTTCAATCTATCTTAAGCGAGCATAATTCGTTTTGAAAATCCGAGCTTCTGGCTTTTTACAGGGTGGCCGCTCTGCCCCGTTGTCTTAAAAAGGTAGACTAGCCCGCCTACCTCTCCCGTCCCCACTCACCTCCCCTCTTCGTCTGGGAGCAGCCTAGTCTACCTTTCTAAAACAACGGGGCAGAGCGGCCCCATGTATGAAGACAAAGTGCACAAAACGTTTTAGGTACCTAGCTCAATCCGTCCTCGTGTCATTGTGATGACAGACAGACACAGAGGCAGACTCGAAACTTTTCGATCACTGGAGTAATGGGCTTCGATACTGCTCAGGCGGCTAGTGCGACACACACGCACTCTCTCTCTCACACACAAGTACAGCCTTACCTCAATACTGGCTCGGATCATATCACCGACGTAGCCATCCCCAGCACCAGATCCCTGCTCAATACTAAACCTGCACAGACGAAATAATTGCTGATCAGAATAGGGGGCTCGTTGGATTTGATATGCACACAGAACAAACTAGGCCCGCTCTTCCGCCAAACCAAGTTGCCAACTCCGCTTCGCTCCGGCAACTCGGTTTGGCAGGGAGCGCGGGCCCAACTTGGCCTGCCGGTGGCATTTGGGACGGGCCTTTGGCCCGTCTTATTTGATATTTCATGGTTTAATATAGCTTCCATCGGAAAACGGGTCTCCGGACGAGCTGCAAAGGTTGTTTTGGCTGCCAGAGGTGACAACTCGACTTTGCAGCAGCCACCCCGACGGTAATATGTTATCAGAAGCCTAAACGTCTCAAAAAGGACAAACACTGCGCTTTTTCGCATAAAACGTCCGGTAGGGAGTTGAAGGGGTTGTCCAATCGCAAAAACGGGGTCATTTCTGGGATCAGCACCAAACAAAACGAAACTTTTTGGTGCTATCCAAAAGTCGAAATAGAAAGGCCTCCCAGATCGACGCCCCCTAGTACAGGCGCGCGCCGCCCGTAGCGCTCCTACGCAAAGTGTACCGGTGGCCTCTCTCTCGCACAGTGGCTACCTGTCTCTCTCGGACGGGCTTCACTTTTCCACGCCCTGGTACACTTGCGTAGCAGTCGAGGGGTCGTCAACTTCGATATTCCTCCGTACACGGACTGATGTTACCTCAAATATTACACCAATATTAGCCATATTACTGGTAATATTACCTCGATATTACACATTTTTCTTGTATTATGACGTCACAGCTTGAAAATTGGCTCAATATTACCAATATTATTTGTAATATTCATTATTCCTCCGTACACGGCCAAGGAGAGTTGACGACCCCTCGGTAGCAGTGCGGCTGCGGCAGGCGGCGTGCTGGGTTACTAATAATGGATCTCAACTGGGACACCCCAGGTAGGCCCGGAGCGGCCCTGTGTCTTCACCGTATCTCTGTACTCAGTGATGTCCGCTAACATCCATCCGGGCCTTCGGGGCACAGGTCATCTCCACCATCAACCATCTATCGAGAGTAAGGGAGGGTTGGGCCATGAGAGAAGGGCGCCCTGGAGAAGAAGCTAGAACGGGCCAGAGTGGTGCACTGATCACTTTCTCAGCACCTCACGCCCGTAAATGCAGGCGGATGGAAGTGGCGACAAGTTCACCATGACCAAGAAGTCGAGCTGCGTTGCTAGACAACGGTCTGGTTTCTGTAAGTTAAATTTTACCAAAGTTACACCCGTCTAAAGACGCCCAGCGCGCCGCGGCGGGACCGACGGCTTAGCTGCCTGCCAGCTCGCCGGCAAATCGCCGCTCGCTGGCAGCAAGACTGGCGGAACTATGACTTCCAGATGTGCAAAATCAACGGACAATTGTTCAATTCCTAAGGTATCATGATTTTACACCTATTTGGTGCATCAGGAGGGCATCGGAAGGCAAACCTGGCTGCCAGCGAGCGGGGAGGGGTTGCAGGGATCGTCCCCTGAGCTGAGAGCACCCGACGCACAGTAGTTCGGGCGGCTGCCGTCAAGGGCGCCACGGGCCCAGAGGTGAGAAACAGTCCCGGTTAGGGCTCTCACTTTTACCCGCATACCCGGAAAACCCGAGTACCCGCCCGCTCGGGTAGGAACCGGGTAAACGGGTCTAACCGGGTAACACGGGTTTACCCGGGTAACACGGGTAGAACCGGCGGAACCGCGCCTGTAGGTAGGCAATTTGACATACCGGGTCTACCCGGGTTACCCGGGTTACCCGGCAGGACCCGTTTACCCGGTTCCTACCCGGGTTACCCGGGTACCCGCCGGTCCGGGTTTTGAGAGCCCTAGTCCCAGTCCGGTCCCATTTTCCGTTCCCGCACTGATGTGGTCCGGTCCCGGGCCCGTGCCTTCCCCACGGGACCGGACCGGAACCGCTCTTCTACGGGTTTGGCTAGCCGGCTGAAACGGCCTAGCCGAGTTCCGGTCCTAGTCCGGGCCCGGTCAAAGTCCGGTCCCGGAACGGACCACGACGCGACGACCGACAGGACCGTTTCTCATCTCCGACCGGGCCCGTGCCGACCAGCGCCAGTCTTCACCTCGTTCCCGCATCAGCCGGGTTCGGGGCTCTAGGCTACCTCTCGTGTTGTGTTATTTTTACTAGTGGTTGTACCATGTACCCTGTGTGGAATAAACCTGTCTGTTCCGTAACCTACTGTGTGCGCACTCCGGTGCGAACCTAACAGGCTGTTTGCTTTTTCTGTTCAAAAAGTGCCATGTTTAGAGAGAGTGCAATGGTATTGCAATGTGTGTTCTCCGTTTAAAACAATCCGATTACGTCGAAACGCCATGAAAAAAGTCCAATTTTTAAGTGCTTTGGCGCGTGTGGGAGCAGCGAATGGATTTCAAAAGCCGCAGTTGAATAGGCCTCGCACGGCCCTTTAGCTTTTTTTAGGAGCACTTTATTCATTCCTCTTATTATTTTTTCCGATCCCACATTTCTACCTCACCATACCTCTCGAGTTAGAGACTAACCAGGCGGGGGAGAGCCGGCGGACGACAAATAAAGTGCATCCACGACGCTATTTCTTTAGAGTAGAGATCCGCATTGACGGCGACTCATCCTCATCGCCCGGCCCCCACCGCGCGAGCAACCAAGATAGCGCCTCAGTGGCAGGACACTATCGTACTCGGAATCGTACGTCAGAGTATAAAACCAACGATTACGAGCCATATCTGCGATAAACTGGGTAACTGGCTTCCCAGAAAAAAAAAAGATTAGTGGTTAGAGCTTATACATTGGCTAATTTGGTGACAATCAAATAATTCGTTGTGGCACCTAAGAATTAGAAGTCAGAGACAAGTTAGTTGTCATAGCGAACCCGAGAATACAGGTTCGCTGCTGTGGCAACTAAATCTTTTCTCTGACTCGACTACTAATTCTTAGGTTTCACAGCGAATTTCTAGACTGTCACCAAATTAGCCAATGTATTCGCCCTGGCCACTAGTCTTTCCGTGTTTGCGATATTACAAAGCAATGTTTTCCTGCGGCGTGCGTGTTGGACATATTTAAAACTAGAAGCAGGACAGGGCATCAAACATGTTTGATACATAATGGAGAAACCTGGTTCTTTACCAAAGTTTGATAGGTTGTAATTTTTATCTGCTGCAAAGTTTGAAATAGTGACTATCACTATCAAGGAATCCAAACAGAACAGAACACCCGCATGGTTGCCACGAAATTTTCATTTCCATTTTCCCTGAGTTTTCCCTGATTTCCAGACCCATTCTCCCTAAAATTCCCTGAGATTTAAGCACCATTCCTGGCGAAGTGCAGGAACAAACAAATAACCCCACATGCAAGCATTAGGCGTACTTGCCAGAAGTCCTTAGTCTCACGTAGAAAACGACCGCGAGCGAAGCGAGCGATAAAAATTTTGGGTCAAAAACACCTCGCTTGGACGTCAAAATGTGTGTTTGACCTAAATGGCGAATAGAATGCAGTTTGCGGACCGATCAGAACAAATTTCCCTGACATTTTTTCATTTTCCCTGAGTTTTCCCTGATTTCCCTGACTGTTTTTTATTTCCCTGAGTTTTCCAGGTTTTCAAGGTTTTCCAGAGTTGTGGCAACCATGACCCGCCACAAATTGTGCTGCGCGAGGGGTGCCCAACTGTGGTAATCAGGTGTACACAGACTTGATAATCACTGGTAATCACTGGTATACTTTGGAAAGCACGGCGGCCATGGCACATTTATGGTGGTCATCAGTTTTCGTTGAATTACACCCGGAGGAAAAAAACCTCTATTACGGCGTCATTACTGGGTAAAACCCTATCGTTTGGTATACTGCACTTGTCTGTACGTATTCCAGTTTCCTCCAGCGAAATGGGTCCTCCTAACTTACACAGCACCGAGCACAATACGGCGGGACCGGCGCCAGACACATATCGAAGGGAGCAAAACGTTTAACACCTGTTGGGAGCGTCTGGCTCGGAGCCTCGCGAGTCCGAGGAGCTCATTGTTCGGTGCGTCGCAGGGGACCCGCCCGATCTATATATGTCCCGCCCACGCTCGATAAGTGTCCGCTCTAAGTGTCCGCGGCTTCTGCACGTTCTTAGGTAAGCCACGGCAAGCAAGGTGCTCGTCGGCATTGTCGGCGCGCCTGACCCAGTCCGATCCGAGGCTCGGGTCCAGCAATGGTCGAGCCAGGGCTCCACGCACTGGATGACCCGTCAATCACGCCGGCTTAGGGGAGGGGCGAGTAAACTTGCAACATTTCTGAGCCGAGGGCCCGGACCTAAAACGGTCACTTATCGAGCGGACACTTATCGCGAGGTGACTGTACTCGTTCTTCCACCTCCACGTAGTGATGATTGGAGGGAGGGAGGTAAAGAACGAGTAATAATAATCTCTAGCAAAAAATCAGACAAAACAAATAACGCCCGTTTGCATGTCTTTCAAGAAGACAAGTCGATCACAGCGATCAATCTTGTCCCCACTAAACCTGCTCCAGCTGTCCGTGAAACGCCCTAAAATCACCCGTTTAAGACATTTTGACGTGCTGTGCTTGGCCAATCCCGAGCGCATGTATCTTACCATATCATGTTTCTTCCGCGTGTCAACAGAATACTTCTACATGAACTCGCGGTATGCCAGCCCTTCGAAGGGTTGCTTGCTTATGGCGCTTTCAGCGCAATTTGAAAAGCAAATCCTAGGTCCAAGTTCGAGAAACTTGTAAATCGTCTCTATGCAAGACGTGAACACCTGGCAATGTTCGTTTCGTTCGGTGGCAGTGGGAGTTCGAGACCGCATAAAGGGCGAAAGCGAGTTGCATTCTGTTCGAATAACATTTATTTTCGCCGAAGGGACAATCACTGTTTGTCAGGGAGCGACACAGTCGTAAAGAGGAAATGCTGATAGTGCATAGAACGGTGGCAGTACACGGAAAAAAAAAGTTAGCTGCTCCAGCTTAACATTAGGTATGCGAGCCAAAAGTTGGCTGCCTGGAGGACAGACAA